GCTGATGGAGATTCTGAGCGAGCTGCTCGCTGGTCGGGGTCTCCGGGGTGCGAGCGCGGGGACCAGGAGGCATCGCAAACTTCTACAACAAAGCGAGGTTATCCAAAAGAGAGCAAACAAGCAAGACAGAAAGCAACACACAACTCACCGCGCAACCTAGAGTCCTAAGCCTAACACTTAGCTTATTAAGGTCGCTTAGAGGTCTCAGAACACACTTAACCACTTAGAAAGTGTAGACTTAACTCTTCCTAAGCTCAAACCTAGGCTCTGATACCAACTGTAACACCCCCCCCCCCCCCCCAAACAAGGCCCAAATAAAAGCCCTAACACATGCAGATTAAACAACAAAACTAGCATAGCGGAAGATAAAATGAGAACTGGATAAAAGAAATCCAACGGGGTGTCACGCCACGTCTACCAAACACGGTAAATGCTACGGCAAACAATCTGCAAGTGTATACATCTATCCCAAAACATCAGTCCAACTACATTGGCGCACAGGCCACAAAAACAAGGATAAAGGTGCTAAGCTACCAGGCACTAGACATTGCGCTCGTCTAAACATCACCTGAAAGATACAAAGATAAACATTGGGACGACGCCCGGTCAGCGATAATGCTGGTAACCCACCAATACCGTTAAGTATCATATATAGATAGATATAAACCATAAAACCATTTTCGAAATGGAATACATAAGTATATAAGTCAAAAGTCAAGATCAACAGTCAACACAAGACTCATCACTCTCAAAGATAACACGGGAACACATCCCAAACCACAAAGGTTAACCACAACACAAATGAATAAGACTCACCCATGGCAACACATGCCCTTGTGACTACACACGTCACAAGAAAGAGAACTCACAACAACGGCTACACAAGCCCTCGTGACATCACCCATCACGAGTTGATATGCATTCCTTATGCCCTGTTCCAACCTTATGGCTACCCCCAACCTTGTACCTTCATGCCAACCATTACCTCCAGGACCCCTGTACTTCTTAGTCCAACCTTTTCCCTCCTGGACCGTCGTCCCCCACCAACAAACCACCAACAAGACCACCAATTCATTGTACACAAGGTACCGTACACGACGAAATACATGCCCGGATATCACATGTTATCCCCCAATCACGTGAACCTTACACGAAGGAACACATCTCCATAATCACATCACGGCCACCACGAGGACCGCTGCAATACCTTGGTGACTAGCGTCCCATACCACTAATCGTGCAATCCAGGTAAAGCCACACACGCACCACCACTCACACGAGTCAATCAACGGATTACAACGAAGGTATGAAACCATACTCAATCAAGGAATGGGTCACAACCCAACGTCAACAACGATGAATAACACAAGTTATCATCCACCAAACGAAAGGTACAAACAACACACACGCTAGCATTAAGACAATAAACTAGCATGCTTAACAACGGAGAAACTCAAGATAGTTCCGGGGAACACAGAAGACACCTCTCGGTCCAACGAAACACAATGTTGAACACTTAGCACGATTCAAGACACCAAAGTCCTACATGGATACCTACCATATAGTTCTAGACCTACGAAACATCAAGAAGACGCTCAAATAGTTCCACAAAAGAACAACGGGAAGTCAAAAGACCAAATACCGAGGCAAACGAATCACGGGGAACAAATCCCGATCCAACTCCACTCGTGTACCCGCGGGTGGACCCACGGGTAGTGCCCCATCCGTGGTTCCGCCCGCGGGAACACATTCCCACATGGCGTTGTACCCGCGGGTGGTGCCCCGCCCGCGGGAACATTCCTGTTCCACAACAAATCCCTTCGGGGATTTTCTTCTCCAAACACAAAATCAAGTCCAAAACATGCCAAATCTAACCCAATACAACAAAATGACTTGAACCATGGAAAATGCCTAGCAATGGCACAAAAGAACCCTAGACACAAGCTCTAGATATGCAATATCACAAGACAAATGCATAAACCCTCACATTTCATAGCAAAACACAAGTAGAATCCAAGATATCACATATAGGTAAGCAAAATAGGTTTTGTAGATCATGGGTTACCTCTTGTAGACCAAAAGACTTCACTCTACACCACAACAAGCTCCCCACAAGGCTTACTTTCCAATCCCACTTCAAGATTAAACCAAAAGATCATAAAGATCCTACCTTTAAGAAAAAGACAACTAAGATGGAACCAAAAAGACAAGATAAACTTAGATCTTACCCTCCTAGATGCCCAAATAGGTGAAAGGTTGAATCTTGGAAGCAAAACCTGAAATCTTGACAAGGGTCTTAACTTGGCTAGGAGAATAAGCTACACTTCTTTTCTAGAGAGAATGTAGAGCTAATTTCTAAGAATTGTAAGGAATGAAATGAAGAAGTCTTCTAGGTTAGGTTACAATACTAACTCTTGGTGAAAAGTCAAGAATACCCTTACTAACCTTTAGAAAGTGTAAGGAACAAGGGAACTCCCCTCAAAGCACAAGGTACAACACAACTTAAAGGTTGACTAGTCAAATACTAGTCCTTGAGTATTAAAAATCAGGATTTTAGGAATTAATTCCTCAAATGAAATAGGATTAATTACTCAATTAATCCATGGATTGAAATGTGGATTTTTGGGGTGTCACTTTTGGACCTATGGCGTCTCTTGTAAAGGCTTTATGCCCTTTGGTGTGGAATGAAGTTCTTGATTCTCAAAAAAAAAAAAAAAAAAAAATTTACTTTATGGTTATTTGTAAATAATTTTCAATTCTATCATGAAGTTTAGTTTTATGATGTAAACTTTAGATCATATTTCTTAATTTGCCCGCAGGGATTAAGAAGAGGAACATGATTTCTTAAATTTTTTTATCATAATGATAGTAATGAATCTTATTGACTAAAACTTTAGTCTACAGGCAAGTTTTATGTCATTTGATTCTTCAACTCATTTGATAATGGTTTCATCATAAATAAAATTTTTCAGTTGGATCTAATTGAGTAAAACTTTAGCCCACAGGCAAGTTTTATGTCGTTAGATTCTTCTGGCTATTTAGTAATTGTGAAAAATATTATCATAAGGATTTCTTAATTGGATTTAATAGAATTAAAACTTTAGCACACAGGCAAGTTTTATGTCAATAAATCCCTCAACCCATTAGATAATAATTTTATCACAATTTCTTAGAATTCATAAATTTAGGCCAATTATAATTCTAAGTTTCGTGGTTTGCATTGGCAAAACATGTTTTCAGTCACTTCCCAAAATTTAGCAACTTTTATTAATTGATCCACGAATCTTGCTCGGTTCTTCGAACTAACTGTAGTAAGTTACGTGATTTGATATACCTCTTGGATTCCAATAATAATAATAAAATGTATCTTTTGAGCCAAATTCTAACTTGGTTTTGGAAGGTGTGTTTTGTTTTTTTAGTATGTCCAACTATGGTGGAGAATTATATCTTCATTATTTAGTTGGACTTTAATTGGAACCAAAAATTGATTATTTAGTATGTCCAACTAATGGTTGGGAATTATGTCTTCATTTGTTAGTTGGTCAATAAATCAATTATGAGTATGTATATTATTAAGTTCACTTTATTAATTTCGCTAAAGAATATTTTAACCAGTGGGAGTGATCATTTAGAAAAAAAGATCATTAAGTTACTCTAGAGATTTTGGATTTAATTGTTGCATCCATACATTCCAAATTGGGTTGTATGTTAAACAATAAGTTCAAAAGATTCCACAAGTATTAATCTTGTATTTGTTCATATAAATTCATAAGTTCAAATTATTGAACATTTGGTTGTGCAACATATTTATGAAAATGTTGTAACAAAGGAATTTATTAGAACAAAAGCATTTAACTTGTGGTGCACTGTAATTTAATAAATTCTTCAGTGATTAATAGAGTCTTAAGTTTCTTCAAAATTGATCCTGGGCCTTGGTTCGTAGGGCTCAAAACAATTTTTTGGGACATATAAGTAACACTCATTATGTTAGTTCATTTAAAATGGACATTGAAGTTATTTGGGAAGTTATGGTGTATGATTAAGATTCCAAATTTATGGACTTAGACGTTTGGTTTATTGCCTAAGTTATTGGAATGCTTCTGTGACTTGACTATCTTTTGACTATTTTTGATGAGTGGGAGTGACAGACGTGTCAACTCCAAGCTCTTAGCTGTTAAAGATAGTGCTTAAAGTTAACTTATAAAGAAGAAATAGAATATAGTTAGCATTAGGCTAACATTAAGAGATCTCTACTTTAAGGCATGCTTATATAGTTTTAGAGATCATACAGTGTACTCTTTTGTACGATTTGGATGTGTTTTGTCTTTCAGTTGTGCACATAATGTATTTTGAGAAACATCCATTAAGGTACCGAGAATAAACATAGGGTTTATTCATTAAGGACCTAAATTGGAGAATTAAAATGCATGTGACCATAATGGATACTACTCTGTTTAAATAGAGGACATGTCACTATGATTCGTGTGTTTGTTCTTTGGTGAAGGTTATGCTAGTACTTGCACCAAGTTGGAGAATGTAAGATTTTCCCTAATAATATATATTATATATTATATATTAGGGCCTTAATTAAGTTGTGCAAGTGGACTAGGCTTATTAAGTGGTCTGGTTGGACTGAATAACTAGAAGTTGTTAGTCCACCAAACTCTGTGCCTAATATAATCCTGGATTGATGGGATATAGGATGATTGATGTTAGCACATTCAGTTACGGTACTCAGACTGCTCAGTAGACACCAATACACCATCTAGGGTTCTGAGTCAGGTCTGAGGCAAAACATGGCTAACGGACTACTGTTAAGAGGCAACACAACAGGAACATCAACTATGGCTGGATATACACGGCTCTCGCTTCCGCTCATACGAGGTCAGATCTCTCGTATAGTATTGTTCAGTATTAGTTAGACTATTTAGATCTAACAAAAAGATGATTACTCGAGACTCGAACTCCAACTCCAACTCTAAAAAAAATGAACCTAAGAAACATTCAGATCAGGTCTAGGACACCAACCTGTCTTTAGATGTATAGTAGAGTTGGCAGGTGTTACATTTACTGGTAAGCCAGCAAAAAATAAGAAGCAGCTAAAAAAAATGCAACCATGGCAGCTTGGTCATCCCTAAAATTATGTAACCCGCGGAGAGCTTCTCTGGGCTCTTGCCGCCGGCTCCTCGGCGCTCTTTTACCAGATGAATCGAATTCCTGGCCGACGTTCTCTTTGTTAATCTGGAGCGAGAGTCGGTGGTGATGGACTTCTGACTTGATTTAAGATCACTTTCAGGTGGTTGGAAATTCCCTAATTTCCAGCAGTGTGCTATAAACAACATAAATACATAATTTAAGGAATGAAGGCAAATAATTTAATTTAGTTCTCCATATTATATTTTTGGTAATAAAAAAAAGAGTTTTGGAGTTGTTAGCTGGTTTGATTTATCATTTGAAGACGAAATTATCAACGAACTTTTTAAATTAGTAGGTTACCTTCAATAATAATAATAATAATAATAATAATAATAATAATAATAATAATAATAATAATAATAATAATAACAATAATAACAATAACAATAACAATAACAATAACAATAACAATAATAACAATAATAATAATAACAATAACAATAACAATAACAATAACAATAAGAATAACAATAATAATAACAATAATAATAACAATAATAATAATAATAATAAGTATTTCATATTTTTAATTTAATATTAATTATAGACTATGTATGGGTTGACATTTGCACATCTACCAATTGATTAAGACATTTTCTTTAGAGAAAGAACAATTCAAACTTGACCTGATAAGTGATAATGATGCATCCTATAATTTGCAGAGCCGATTAAATAGTTATTTAATATAACAGAAAAATTAAATATTATTGTATATTTTATATCGCCATAAAACCACTTGCATTAATATAAATATAAACACATTATGAGTGGGAGTAAAATTTTTTAAAGCAATTTTAATAATAAGTAAGCCATATTTGTATTCTTATTAGAAGCGTCCTAAAATTATAGGGGGAAAGAGTCAAGAAATGCCGTAAATTATACCATAGACTAGGGTCTACTTTACATTGTAGATTCTGATTCAAAAATAATCTTCAGCTTTTGGTTAATGGATAAAATATTTTCACCATCGAATGTACGTAACAATAAAATTGTTCACTTCTATTTTTTTTTTTTTTATTATTATTATTATTATTATTATTATTATTATTATTATTATTATTGGTACTTACTAAACATTTAAATGCAATGAACAAACAACTTACCTCTCCACACCTATCATCCATAAAGTATTTTGATTCCTTGCAACTCGAACTCCTATAATACAACATCAATACATAAATTAAGCAGTAGCAATATAAAAACAAAATTGGAGTTGTTAGGTGGTTTGGTTTATCATTTGAAGGCGAAATTATCAACTTTTTAAATAAGTAGGTTTGGGTGACATTTACACATCTACCAATTGATTGAGACATTATTTTTAAAGAAGAGAACAAGTCAAACATGCCGTAATGAGTGATTGTAATGTGTCCTATAATTTGCAGAGCGGATTAAATATTAAATAATTAAAATATATAATTGCATTGACTTCTCTCTTAGCTACCATTGAGCTTAATTCTTTTTGCATCCCAACCACAGAGTGTCTCTTCACGATGATAAAAAGGCATTGAAATCTCTGCTTCAGAAGCTCTCTTATATGGAAGCCTTTGTGAAGATGGAATACAATAACGTTGTGGGTGGTGCTCCAATCCGACGACATCTGCAAATCAAAATCAGACACTTAGCAAAGCCAAAAGCCATGGTATAACAATTGAAAATATGCAGTATAAATTAGCAAAGTCAAAAGTTGCAAATTAAATGCATTATTACAAATTTAGTTAATATATTTATATATGTGTACTAATATATTATTATTACTCTAAATGACTGTTCAATTTCGTGGTTTAGCTGTCCCATTAATTCTATATTGTTTGGCAAACAGAAGTACTAAGATTAAATGTTAAATTTCCATTCATGGCCGGTTTGAAAACTCGAAAAATAACTTTCAAAAATCATTTTTTCAAATTTGAAGTGTTTGGATATTCAAAGAAAATAGAGTCAAACAAAAATATGCATTCTAGTCAATGGAAAAAAGGTTTAATTTGGGAAAAATTAAAATGTTTTCCTAGATTTTAAGTTGAAAGATATTTTTGGAATTCTTTATTTCACGTCTCTCTCTAATCTCTCTTTAAGCTAGTTTCTAGATTTCTATTACCATCACACACCACCAACGAACGTAGCACACCACCACCATCACCACCATCACCTCCACCAACATCACAGCTACTATTATTATTATTATTATTATTATTATTATTATTATTATTATTATTATTATTATTATTATTATTATTATTATTATTATTATTATTACAAATAATATATTTATTTTTAGAAAAATGAATCAAACAAAAAAATGCAATTTCTTAACTTTCAACCAATTAAATAAAGATATATATTTTTCTGACCTTTAGCAAAAAACTAAAAAATTAAAATATTTTTTTAAAACATAAATTATATTCTACAAATCGTTTTCCAGTAAATATTTTCTAGGTTTCCAAACGAACCCTAATGTATTTCAACTTTTCCAAGAAGTGAGAAATTCAATTAAATAAGTTTTTATATGCAATGCATATATATATAAATATATAAGTATGATGAGATGATTGAATTGTTGAATTCAGTTACAGTAGGATAGGAATACAATACTAATAGCTAAACAACTTAACGTAAAGAAATCCTACATAACAGGAAAGCCACAGAGACCTATCCTATTACAATATTAATCATCAGTGTAAAATATAATTATAATATTGCTAACACACCCCCTCAAGCACAAAGGTGGTGAGCCACAACATTGAGATTGTCACGAAGTGCAGCAAACCTCGGCCCCGGTAGCGGTTTGGTGAAGATATCAGCCAGCTGATCTTTAGTAGACACAAAACTAACCACCAGATCCCCAGAGGCGACCTTGTCCCGAACGAAATGGAAATCAATCTCCACGTGTTTGGTTCTGGCGTGGAAGACGGGATTAGCGCACAAGTAGGTAGCTCCCAAGTTGTCACACCAGAGCGTGGGTGGTTCGCCGGAGTGGAGCCCTAGTTCACGCAGTAAAGGCACAACCCACGTGACCTCTGCAGAAACATCAGCGAGAGCCTTGTACTCGGCTTCAGTCGATGAGCGGGAAATTGTGCGCTGCTTGCGGGATAGCCAGGAAACCTGGTTGGACCCCAAGAAGACAGCATAGCCACCAGTACTCTTCATATCGAGCGAACACCCTGCCCAATCAGAGTCTGAGAAGGAGTGAATAGCCGAGGAGCTGGACACCGAGAGTCGCAAACCATAGTCTAGAGTGCCTTTGATGTAATGTAGCACTCGCTTCACTAGACCCCAGTGATCGGTAGTTGGAGAGTGCATGTATTGGCACAAGAGATTGACAGCGTAGGACAGGTCCGACCTAGTGATAGTCAAATACTGCAGAGCCCCCACGATACGACGATACTGAGTCGGATTGTCATACGGCTCGTCAGAGGGTGATACAGGTTGACTGACAGCCGCCGGAGTTGTTAGTGGCTTGCAGTCAGTCATACCAGCGCGAGTTAGAATATCCTTCATATAGTGGCATTGAGATAACACGAGCCCAGTATCGGTCTTTAGAGTTTCAATACCAAGAAAGAACCCGGGAGTACCGAGATCCCGGATTTTGAAAGTTGCAGATAGTCGACGCTGCAGTTGGGTAGCCCGAACTCTACGTACGGGTATGACCGGTCCTTCAATAGCCAAGGGAGGGGGCTCCCGAGCTAATGGTACCAGATTGTGAGGGCCCGAGGGTGGCGAGGCCGTGTACTGGTGTTGCGTTATTATTGGCCCATATGCCCACGGCAAAGCGGGCGGCATTGATGGCGCCGTGTCATGTGTTGTCACATCTGAAAAAGGAAAACTAGTTTCATCAAAGCATACATGACGACAGATATAGACTTTTCCACTTGACAGATTTATGCATCTATAGCCCCTAAAGGAAGGAGGATACCCTAAGAAGATACATGGTGTCGAGCGGTTCTCTATCTTGTGCCGATTATAGGGCCGTAGATAAGGGTAACACCGACACTCGAAGACGCGTAGGAATGTGTATGGTGGTGAGATTTTATATATATGACTGTAGGGACTATCATATTGTAGAACTGATGTGGGTAAGTAGTTGATTAAGCAAGTAGCCATCTCGAAAGCATAGTCCTAATATTGTTCTGGGACAGAGCCTTCGGCTAATAGGGCTAGTCCAGTTTCGACTACATGTCTATTTTTACGCTCAACCCTGCCGTTTTGCTCGTGCGTATACACACAGGATTGGCGATGAATGATTCCCAGTTTGTCAAAAATGTAATGTAACTTGCGATACTCCCCGCCCAAATCCGACTGAATAAACTTGATAGAGCGCGAAAACTGACGTTCTACCATGACCCAAAACGACTCGAAACTTTTATATATATCAAATTTTACCCGTAAGGGATAAAACCAAAAAATATGGGAATAATCGTCTACAAAAAATAGAAAATAACAAAATCCACTAGTAGAGATTACAGGAGCAGGGCCCCAAATATCGGTATAAACTAAATCCAACACATTTTTACTAGATAAAGAAACTCGGTCTAACGGGAATCTAGATGCTTTGCCGAGATGACACGATGTACACGATCCCGTGGATTTGGCTTTATTTGGTGCGACCGGACATGACTTTAAGACTTGATTTTGGACGTGTGCATGGGGATGGCCCAACCTACGGTGCCAGACTACTGGAGTTGTACGGGACGTGATATAAGCAAAATGCGACTGGGAAACCGGGAGCTTGTATAAACCTCCCGACGTGGGACCTCTAAGCAGAACCGCACTGGCGATTGAATCCTTCACAATAAAACAATCTTTGTGAAATTCAAAAAAAACATGATTGCCATTTGTTAGACGGTAAACAGATAATAATGGAACAGAAAATTTTGGGACATGAAAGGCATTAGATAGACGTAACATTTTTGACACAAATGGTATAGATGCATGACCGACTCGAGAAATTATCCAACCTGCGCCATTACCAACGCGGAGAACATCACCACCACTGTACTCATCAGACTGCGACAGCATGGGCGGTCGCACCGGTGTCCGAAAACCAACCCGGAGTTGACGTTGCTGCCGCCGCAACGTCGCCCGGGACGACCATATTAGCTTGCGCCGACGGTTGAGGTGCATACCTCTTGTAACAATATATGGCCGTGTGTCCTTGCGACCGGTAAATTTGGCATCGCAGTGCACCGCCCCTGCCGTTCTTGCCTCGACCTCCGCCACCTCTGCCGCGACCTTGATTCTAGCCAGTCGAACCACCGCAACCTCCACTGCGTCCGCGACCAACATACAACGCGGCCGGTGCAGGAAGGAGTTCACAATCAGTTCCGGCCGGGTAGTCCTCAGCGTGGATGAATTCCTGTGCCTGCAGGAAGTCGTAGATCTGTGGGATTGTGACAGGGTTACCTGCCGCCGTGAGAGAGGAATCCATGGCGCGATATTACAGGCGCAGCCCCTGGAACACGAACATGTTCGGCTCGTCGAGGGAGATCGGCTGGCCGGCATGTGCAAGGTCCTCCACAAAGAGTTGGGCATGGCCCAAGTATTCTGCCGCAGTGCTGTTACCCTGCCAGAGACCATGGAACTGGCCGAGGAGACTGAGGCATCGTGCACGAGAGGAACTGCATAGTGTCGCGCCGATAGAATCCCAAACTTCCTTGGATGTGGTTCATCCTACCGCGAGGAGCATCACCTCATCCGAGAGGGATGAAATGAGGAGAGAAAGCAGCGACTGATCCTGCTTGATCCAAGCCTTATAAGCGGGACTGGGCGTCGGAGAGACGGTCGTTGCAGCCGAGTCGCCGGAAGCTGGAGGCACGTCAACAGTAGGCGGCGGGCATGGGGTGTCGCCGTCGACATGGCCAAGGAGTTCATGGCCACGGAGGAAAGGCACCAATTGAGTTCTCCAGAACAAGAAGTTTCGATAGGTTAGTTTAATCGAAACGTAATGATGAGCACCGGATAAAGGGTTTTGGGTGGTGGCCGGAGAAGAAGCACCGCCGGCGGACATCGTGCGTTCAGAGGAGTTGGTAGACATATCGGGTGGTTGAGGGTTGGTGTGTGGGAATTGAAGGGGCAGCGGCAGTGGTGATGGGAGGAGAAAGGAGAGAGGATTAACCTGGTCAATCTGATACCAGATGAGATAATTGAATTTTTGAATTCAGTTACAGTAGGATAGGAATACAATACTAATAGCTAAAAAGGAATCCTACATAACAGGAAAGCCACAGAGACCTATCCTATTACAATATTAATCATAAGTGTAACATATAATTATAATATTGCTAACAAGTATTATATGGGGATGTTTGCGTTTGGTTAATTGATAAAATATTTTCACCATCGAATGTAACAATATATAAAATTGTTCACTTCGTCTATTATTTTATTATTATTATTATTATTATTATTATTATTATTATTATTATTATTATTTTAATTTTTTTATTTGGTACTTATTACTAAACATTCACATGCAATGAACAATGTTGGAAAATTATGATTACTAACTTACCACTCCAAACCTATCATCTACAAAGTATTTTGATTCCTTGCAATACGAACGGCTATATACAACATAAATACATAACTTAAGGAATGAAGATAAATAATTAAATTTAGTTCTCCATATTATATTCATGGTAATATATATATATATATATATATATATATATATATATATATATATATATATATATAAATTGGAGTTGTTAGGTTGTTTGATAATTTATCATTTGAAGACGAAATTATCAATCAACTTTTTAAATAAGTAGGATACCTTCATTAATAATAATAATAAGTATTTCATATTTTTTAATATTAATTATAGACCGAGTATGGGTTGACATTTGCACATCTACGAATTGATTGAGACATTTTCTTTAGAGAAAAGAATAATTCAAACATGATGTAATGAATGATAATGATGTATCCTATAATTTGCAGAACCGATTAAATATTAAATAGTTTATTTAATATAACAGAAAAATTAAATATTATTGTATATTTTATATTGCTATAAAACCATTTGCATTAATATAAATATAAACACATTATGAGTGTAAGTAATTTTTTAAGCAATTTTAATAAGGCAAATTATGGCCCACACAATGTTATGTAGACTATAACAAAAAATATATTTTTAATACATTAAATGTACATTATTTTTGTACTGAATGTACATTATACAATATAATGTACACTTAGAACAAAAATAATGTATATCCCCTGAATACAATGTACATTAATTTTATATTGAATATACATTATTTTTGTACTGAATGTACATTATTTTACAGTAAACAAAATATGGTCTACACAACTTGTGTGGACCATGGTCCATACAATAATGATTCATTTTAATAATAAGTAGGCCATATTTGTATTCTTATTAGAAGAGGCCCGGAATTATATGAGGAAAGAGTCAAGAAATGCGGTAAATTATACCATAGACCAGAGTCTACTTCGCATTGTAGACTCTGGTCCAAAAATAATCTTCAGATTTTGGTTAACCGATAAAATATTTTCACCATCGAATTTAACAATAAAATTGTTCACTATTATTATTATTATTGTTGTTGTTTTTGTTGTTGTTGTTGTTATTATTATTGGTACTTACTAAACATTTACAAGCAATGAACAATATTGAAAAATTATGCTTAACAACTTACCACTTCCCTCCTATCATCCACAAAGTATTTTGAATTGATTCCTTGCAACATACACGAACTCCTATATACAACATCAATACATAAATTATGCAGCAAAAGACAAATAATTTAGTTATTCATATTGATATCAATATAAAAACAAAATTGGAGTTGTTAGGTGGTTTGATTTATCATTTGAAGACTAAATTATCAACTTTTTAAATAAGTAGGTTGGGGTGACATTTACACATCTACCAATTGATTGAGACATTATTTTTAGAGAAGAGAATAATTCATACATGCCGTGATGAGTGATGGTAATGTGTCCTATAATTGTGAGAATAAGTAATTTGTTGTTTTTTTTTTTTTTTTTTTTTTTTTGAATTTTAATTGGGGGAGAGTCATGATATGTAGTATAAATTAGCAAAGCCAAAAGTTGCGAATGCATTATTACATTCTAATCTTAGCTTACTTCTAAAAAAAAAAAAAAAAAAAAAAAAATACAAAGAGTGAGAGATGGCTTGTGTTGCCTTGACTTCTCTGATGGCTACCATTGAGCTTGAATTTTTGCATCCCAACCACAGAGTGTCTCTTTGTCTTGATGATGAAAAGCTATTGAAATCTGTGTTTGAGAAGCTTTCTTCTATGGAAGCCTTTGTGAAGGAAGAATACAACAACGCTGTGGGTAGTGGTGCTCCAGTCCGACGACATCTGCTAAACAAAATCAGAGACTTTGCACTCAAAGCTGAAGATGCCATCGAAATACAACTCACAAACATCCTTCAACTTCAACAAAAAGCTGATGAAGCGGAACTCCATCTCCATCGAAGTTTGCAAGAAGTAGCAAACGAGGCAGAAGAGTTGCTGAAGGTTATCAACAATGAAGTTGAAGCGGCTAACCATCATTCTCTTCCATTGATTGGTTGGTCAGAAGCTGCAGCTTCTCACCCTCACAACATTATTGCGTCGTCGGGTGGATCCTTGCAATGCTCTCCACAGTTTGAGGAGGAGAAGAAGGATATAATAATGCTTTTTGATGACGATTTCTTTTCATTGAGAAGGCATCTTATCGTTGATGAGTTATGCCTATATCGAAGAGTACTCACAATTTTTGGAGCCCCAGGCATTGGAAAGACAACTCTTTGTAAAACACTGTATACAGATCGAAGGGTTGTATCACATTTCGACATTCAAGCTTGGATTACTATCCCGCCAAGGCATAATAGGAATGTGCAACAACTACTGCGCCACCTTCTTCAATCAATGAGGCCAACCCTCAATGAAGAAATTGACATGGGAAGCACTTCTTCTCAACTAAAAGAGCAACTGCACAGACACTTGAAATGCAAAAGATATTTAATTGTTTTGGATGATGTCCCTAACACTCTGCTTTGGGATGATATCCACCAATTTTTTCCGGATGACTCAAATGGAAGTCGGATATTGCTAACCACTGTTTTTGCTGATGTGGTTGAGTACATCATCAAATATTGGAATATCACCAAGATCAAGTGCCTGCCTTACCTAAGTGACAATGAGAGTTGGAAACTATTTTCCCACAGATTTTCTCTTAAACAGCGTATGACAACTAAGTTTTTAGAAATTGCTGAGCATCTTGTTGAGGAATGCGGAGGATTGCCGCGCTCAATTGTTACAGTTGCAGACCGTCTATCTAAATGCAACTACACATTGAAAGAATGGAAGAAGATCGAGAAAGAATTACTGTCATTGGGAATTCTGCATAGAGATAGACAACACTCAAGTAAGCTTACCAACATTTACAATCGTTTGCCACAACATTTAAAAGTTTGTTTTTTATATTTTGTGGTCTTTCCAAAACACAGTCAAATCAATGTGAAAAGACTTATTAAGTTATGGATTGCTGAGGGATTTGTGAAGCCGTTGGGGTGTCAGTCATTAGAAGATATAGGTTACAAGTATTTATGGGCTCTTAGACGTAGAGGACTAGTCAGAATAGAGGCTGAGTACGGTTCAAGACCGAAGACTTGTTCCATACATATTGACATGCATAGCTTTTGTGTACGAGAAGCTAAAAAAGAAGGTCTTTTATGTGCAGCAAATACTCAACAGTGTATTGGATGGTCAGTAGACATACTCGCAAATTCATGTCGCTGGTTAAGTTTACGCTCACATAGTTTGGACTATCATGCGTTGTTTAGTTCAAATATCCCTCGCTCCCTTTTCGTCTTTCAGGGAGGTTTTGAAAGGTTTATACCTTTCAGACATTTAAGAATTTTAGATTTCAGTAAATTTCTAATACTCAAAAGAGTGTCATTATTGCCCTTAAGGAATTTAGTTTTTCTAAGATACATTTCCATACCACAGTGGTTTGAGAGTTTTGATGATGTAGTATCAAGTAATTCAAATTTGCAAACACTTACTACTGTTTCTGGCATTGATGAATCAACACTTGGAGCACGTACTCTTCATTTGTCATCCAAAATTTGGGAGCTGCAACATTTAAGGCATCTCAAACTTGGGGATATGTATATGATAGACCCTCCAAACATGGTTAAAGAGAATTTGCAAACATTAGTTTGTGCAATGCCAATTCATTTTAGGAAAAAAGAAGTGTATTATTGCAGGTTTCCAAGCATAAGAAAACTGGAAGTTGTGTATAAAGATGTCTTAGTGCCTGGTTGCAATGGTGAGCGATGTTGCAGAAATCCTATCATCATTCTGGAGAATTTTGAGGATTTATTGAGGTTGGAGACTCTAATGGTTATGGTTCCAGTTGGTAGTATAACCCTTTTAGAGCAGGTTGGTTTTCCTGTAAATTTGATGAAGCTGAGGTTGAGTGAGACTAATTTTCCAGTAAAGGTTTTAACGGTGATTGGGCAGTTACCGAAGCTTAATGTGTTGAAACTAGAGAATGCTTTCTATGGCAAAGTGTGGGAAGTGGCTGAAGGAGGATTCCCTGAATTAGAAGAGTTGGAGGTTGAATCCAAAAGTCTTGACCGATGGGAGGCCAATACTAGTAATCATTTCCCAAAGCTAAAAAAGATATTCTTAAAACGTTGTTATTCTCTAGAAGAGATCCCTCTTGTAGGTGTAATAAAGCACTTGTTGTTGTCAATTACGTTGGAAAAATGTCCTCCTTCTATTGCCACTTCTGCCATGAGGTATCAAGAAGAGATGAGATGGTACCACGGAATTTGGGAATCTTGTGTTATTGTTGACGGCAAGGAATTCTTTTTCAAGAAGATAGGGGTGCCGTGCTCTCATGAAAACCAGTATTGGCGGTATTATTGACGTTATTGTTGACGGCAAGAATGAGGGGGCCGGTATGTTCCATTTGTTTCTCTTTCATTCTTTTGTTTATTTTCTTTGCAAAATCTGTTTAATATTTCTTTTTCTCACCTGGTTTCATGTTAGTTCTTGGTTCCGTTTTCCAATATTGATCCAATTGCTATGATGAATCACAGTATAAAAAAATAGAAGAATTAGAGGTCTAACTAGTGTATACGTAGGGCAATGTCCAAGAGGTCTTTTTTAATTTGTAACAAAAAATGTTTTATAATAAACTTTAATTTGCTTAGTTTGTGTGTATTAACAAATTATACGATCATGATCCACATTGCAATATAAACTATGATTAAATGTTACTTTTAATATACTAAAAGTTTATTTTTTTAATATACTTAAAAAAATATTCAATGCACAAAAAAAATGAATGAGTCCTGCATTTTATTAGAATTTCAACAAAATTATTTTTTACTATTCATAATTAAAAGATGTTAACTTTTAGGTTGTTTTTATCACTGTCATATTTTCATGTGTTATCTACCGTACAACCATGAGAATATATCTTTAGATAGAACTCTCATTCACACAACTTAACAGTGACATTTTTGCCAGAGCAACTCGATATTTTTGTATATCTTCTTGTATCTCATAGGTTTTAATCGGATATCCCTGTTGCTTGCAAAGGGATATTAAATACTTATACGAAAGTGAGTACGATACACGCCTGAAGATATCAAATGATCTAGTTTTGTTTCCTTATTTTTCTGTATTTTTTGTTATATCTCAAAAATATTACAGAATACAAATAATTTTTTCCAATTGTATCAATCTTAACTATGAGAGTATCAATGATGTGTGAAAATGTTCTGTCAAAATTATTCTCAACAATTTTACTATAATCATTGATTGATTAAGTTGTTCTACATTTTATTGTAATTTCAACAAAATTATTTTTTACTATTGATAATTAAAAGTGAAAATGTTAAATTTATGTGGTAGTTGATAAGTCAAGAAATAGCTTATATTTGTACTTCACATATTTTTGTTTTTTGCTCAAATGTTAGGTAAAGAAAGGTGGAACAATGCTTAATTTGGTGTATTTTTTATTAAAGGAAGAAAAGATCGAGTAATGGTGCAAGCAAGCATGAAAGGAGGTTAATCTTGGGAGAAAATGTGACATTAGGACACAAGGCAAGAACCAAAGGGCACACCGAGAAACGAAGGAGCAGAATGGTAGCGTGAAGGCAATTTGGGGGAGCTCACATTGGCACTCACACTGTGAGTGTCAGTGAGTTCTTTGATTGGATTTCTGAACAGGAGACTCACAGTGTGAGTGTGCTGATCAGATTCTACTCCTTGAGCCTCACGCTAGCACTCGCACTGTGAGTACCCGCGTGAGTCTCAATGATCAGAATCTGATCATTTAGACTCACGGTGGGACTCACACTGTGCGTCCCACCGTGATTCTCGTCGAGTGGGCTGCGATTTTGTGCGAGCTTTAAACTATAAATAGCTTGGAGTAGTTATTTTGTGGGCACTTTTTTTTTCCTCAGTTCTCCCTCTAGATTTTTCTCCATAGAAGCCCTCCTAGAACTTTTCCACATTGTAATCCATCATCTATTTGAAGATTTAAAGGAAGATTTGTAAGAAATAATTATTTCAAAACACTGATTTTAGGGGTGGGCGTTTCGGGTTTCGGTTCAGTTTTTCTCGGTTTTGGTTTTTCAGTTTAAAAAAAAAAATTAAACCATTCGGTTTAACATTAGGGTTCGGTTCGGTTTCGTTTTCGATTTAAAACGGTTCGGTTTCAGTTCGGATTTAATTCGGTTCGGTTTAAGATCCTCAAATTTCAACATTTCCTAATTTTTCAAACATACTACCAACAATACATATTCACATAATCCAAATCCAAACTCTAAACATTTTATAACAAAATAGCAATCCAAAGTTCAAACACCAATACTAAGAACTAATTAACAAGCATCAGTTAACTTTTTTGCACAACCGACTCTTTATTTGGTTCACTTGGAATATTTTTATTGACAAGATGAATAATCATTTATCTGTATAGTTGATATTAGAAGAACAAGTGTCAAGTACTATATAGTAAATTTTTGGACACAATATGTCATTGCTAGTGCACTGGAATATTATTTTCCAGTGCACTCGAAATATATTCCAATACTAAAAAATAATTCTAGTGTACTAGAAATCAAAATTAGAATGACTATAAAGCACATTAAATTTATAGAAACTTGAAACTAAGAAAAATACTTAATATTTTAAATATAACTCAAGTTAGATATAATTGTGATGTATAAAGAAATCAAATAAAAATTTTAAGGGAGATACCGGTGAGAATAGGAACCGAACGACAGTGTAGGTATCAAGGGATTTAAATTTACTTTTATTATTATTATTATTATTATTAATAATAATAATAATAATAATAATAATAATAATAATAATAAATCATATGGTATTCGGTTCGGTACGGTACCAAACCGTTCGGTTTACAAGAATCCTGAACCGTTCAGTTTTCTATTATAAGTTCGGTTCAGTTCGGTTCGGTTCGGTTGAATTGTCCACCCCTAACTGATTTATATAATAAAGGTTTTAATTCCATAAGGTACTCACGGTGATGATTAATGATGTGTAAAGACGGAATTACTTGGTAAAATTCACTCCCTCTCATTCTGTTAAAATTTAAGTTTATAAGAGTTAAAAGATGAAAAAGGTTATGGGTTTCCTAAAGGGAGGTTTCACATTCCTAAAGTGATTTCTAATCCTAAAAAGAAGTTACTCATTCCTTTTGAAAGAGAGTTTCTCATCACACATATAAATACCATGAAAAACTCTAGGGATGATACGAGTTTTGATAGTCTCTAAGTTTTAAAGTCTCCCCATCATCAGGAAGCGATTAAGGCATACAGATCAGAGAGGTGAATCATTATTGATTTATTCAATTTAAAGATTACATCTCCAACGGAACAAGTAACTTTTATCTTTACTTCTGTTTAAATTAAAAATCCATGATCATGAATATTGTTTAGTTGATTGATTAGATTTACATGCGATTGTTAATTGTGCTTCTGCATTTAAGTTATAGAGCCAAGTTGTAAATTGATTAAACACTAAAATTAGGGTTCATGATATTTGGAGATTTTTAATTATAAGGTTAATTGATTGTGGGTTTGTTGATTATCGCGTCCTATGTATTTACTCTATCGTTGATGATGGATATATATGGATGTGTATGCAACTGTATTTTGTTCGATGAGTACATGACTGCTTTGTGTTCGTTGATGTTGGGCAGTACCCCATGAAAAAATCAAATCTCTAAACAAAATTTGTTTTGCCTTCTTTTAACATCAACATATATGGTTGCTTTATGCGTACTGTTTATATATAAGCTTTAATTTTCATGTTTATATATATAAGGAGTTAGTTACTAATTTGGTCCCTCAACTATTAGGATTTTACTAATCTGGTCTTCGATTTTTAAAATTTCTCAATTTAGTTTCCGACTATGTTTTTTTTTACTCGAAATGGTTCTAACTGTTAGACATCCGTTAACTCGGGACAAATTGATAATTTTGCTATAGTGAAGGGACCATTTCGGTCATCACATGCACCATTTTCTCTGAAAGTTAATTACTAAAAGGAATAAGGGTCAAATAGGTCATCCAATTACACACCAAAATACAATTAGGCCACCCAACTCAAAAAAGCTACAATTAGGTCCTTGAACTACACAAATCCATGCAATTTCACCAAAAATGACTTGTTTACCTGTTGTGTGGGTTACAAAATTAAAAATAAATTTTAAACTTTTATTTTAATAATTTTAAATAATAAATTATTTTAAAAAAAAAAAAAACAGCCGGAGACCTTCGTCTCTGGCCAGCCATGGAGAACCCTTCGTCTCCATGGCTGGCCGGAGACGAAGGGATCCCCTTCGTCTCCTGGCTGGCCGGAGACGAAGGGGTCCCCTTCGTCTCCGTGGCTGGACGGAAACGAAGGGGTTCCGTCTAGCAACGGAGACGAAGGGGACCCCTTCGTCTCCGGCCAGCCAGGAGACGAAGGGCTCCCTTCGTCTCCGGCCAGCCAGGAGACGAAGGGGATCCCTTCGTCTCCGGCCAGCCATGGAGACGAAGGGTTCTCCATGGCTGGCCGGAGACGAAGGTCTCCGGCTGTTTTTTTTTTTTTTAAATTTTAAAATAATTTATTATTTAAAATTATTAAAATAAAAATTAAAAAATTATTTTTAAATTTGGTAACCGACACGTCAGCGTATCAATAGGTAAACAAGTCATTTTTGGTGAAATTGCATGAATTTGTGTAGTTCAGGGACCTAATTGTAGCTTTTTTGAGTTGGGTGACCTAATTGCATGTTGGTGTGCAGTTGAATGGCCTATTTGACCCTTATTCCTTACTAAAATGGTCCATTGACTATAGCGAAATTACTAATTTGGTCCCGAGTTAACGGACGACTAACAGTTAGGACAATTTCAAATAAAAAAAATGATAGTCGGGAACTAAATTGAGGAATTTTGAAAGTAGAGGAATAGATTGGTGAAATCCTCATAGTCGAGGGACCAAATGAGTATATATATAAATGTACAATGAATGTACGGTTGAATATATATATTATATGTTTTGTTTGTACGCACTGTTCAATACATACATACATACATACATATATATATATATATATATATATATATATATATATATATATATATATATATATATATATATATCACTAACTTTCGCGAGCGGTTCCTTCTCCGACTTTGTGAGCCTTTGTTTTTTCTCTTTTCCGATGAACGCCGACGGTGCCTTGCAGTCGCTGGCTACTCCTACTTTTGCCGATCTAGCTCGATGATGATGATGATTCACAGCAGATCGGTAATGTCGTTGTTCGTCCATCAACTGGTGATGGGATTTCTACGCCGTGGGTCGTCTGCTATCCAATATTCCAGTTGAGTTTGCATTTTTCCGGGATACCCTAGCATCAGTTTGGCAACCAGGGATGGATATGAATATCAAAGAGTTGTAACCTGGGCGTTTCCTCTTTCGCTTCAATCACGAGAGCGATATTTCTTGTATAGTTGAAGAAGGCCCTTGGTCGTACGAGCAAAATCTGTTAATACTGAGGAGGCTAAGTATGGAGGATGATCCGAAGACAGCTGTTCTGGATTCTACTGACTTTTGGATCCAAATCCATGGTTTGCCAAACGGTTTCCGTTCCAAGGCAGTCCTTCAGGCCATTGGCGGATTCATTGGTAGTGTTACTAAACTGGATGATCGAAATTTTGATGGTGCAATGAGAACTTTTTTCCGTGTCAGGGTAGCGGTTGATGTTCTTAAAACTCTTAAGAAGGGCATGAGGCTGAAGAAAGATAATGGTGAGTGGAGCGAGTAGACTTTCGCTAAGAATGGTTGCCAACGTTATGTTTCATCTGTGGAACGATTGGACATGGTGATAGAGTCTGTCCTAAGTTAGCCCAGGGGTGGGACAAGAGTTCACCTAAGCCTTTTGGTCCTGAGTTAAAGGCTGGTGGTCGCCGGAACACTCTATCATTCGGTCAGAAGTGGATAGCCCCGGAAACGACGGTGGAACGTACGTCGTGGTCTGCGCCGGGAAGGATAGAAGAATCAGACAAGAAAGGAAAGAATTTGCATAATCCCGTAATTGGCTCCCATACCATACGTGGTGTTGATTTTACATCAGAATCCTCACATGGTACGGAGTTGACTACTGAGGTGGAATCTTGCACGGTTGGCAATTTGTGCGAGACTACTGCTGATGATACTGTTACCATTTTTGAGCAAAAGCGGACACGTACTATTCATATGGAGGCCCCAAGTATCTCGTGTAACACACCTAAAATTTAAAATTTTGAATAGTTATGAAATAAAGGAAATACTATCATTAATTCCGAAACAAAGCGTTACTAAACCTAAGTGTTTGGGGTGTTATGCCACATCTGAGCTGGAGAACTCAAATGCACAGGCTACACTATCTAAGTATCCTCACAATAGAGTCAATACATCAATATGGCACGCAGGCCGAAAGGGAAACTAGCTAACTAAGCCTCGGTCCGCTAGCGCGCTCCGGAGCTACTCATATGTGCCTGAAAGCCAAATATATCTGTTCAGCGAACAATGCTGGTAACCCACTCCAACGCGTTAAAATACAATATATATATATATATATATATATACTAGTTTTTTTACACGCATTGCGCGATTGGGATAATGCCCAATATTTTTCTTAAATAAGTATTTTAAAGTATATCAATGCAAGATTATATTAGATTGTTCATGCATAAATAATTGAATGTTGAATTTGCGTATTTAAATTGGTAATTCTAAATTTACAAATGCAATATAATATAGTCAAGATTAATTATAATTGTCAATAAAATAATTGTATGGGTATGGTTGAAACCAAATATGGGACATAAGGGCGAGCAAATAAAAATTAAAGCATAAAATATTAACGTGTTTGGTTGATGGGTTTTGCCCATAGGAATGGG